TGACATGATGCCGTTGGCAGCCAACGCAAGCGAGGTAATGGCGAGAAAGAGTCGCAAAACTTTGTTTTATAAGTCGTAAACGAACGCGTATCCAAATATTTTTGCTTCAATGAGTTCTGGAACTCATTGGAGCAAAGGAAAATATTCAAAGATATTCTTGAAGTAAATATTCCAAAATAAAAACTTATTTCTTGTAAAAAATGTAACTTTATAATAAATTACCTTGTATTATATACAGCGGGTGATTAATAAATAAACATATAAATATATAAAAGCCACTAAACCGAAAAAAAACAAAATAGTTGCTTAAAAATTTTATTATAGTGAAAAATTTGATTTTAACGAATATAGTAATTGTAGTTCAAAGATTTTTAAAGTTTTATAATAATGCGTTAGTTTTTGCAAAGAAACGCTATATAATTCATTTTTAATTTTAATATAAACTATTTTTTTTTTACTTTGTTGCGCTTAACCATCTTTATATAAACAATATATATATATATATATAAACATTTATGCTATTTGTTTATATATATTGTTTATAAAATGTAAAAAATTCACTTATGAAACGTTTTATTCAGGATCGTATGTAATATAAGTAAACTTTTCTTATATTTACATGACTTTTTTGCTCAAGCTGTTTTGTTTTGATTTTTTGTAGTTATGTCATTATATTTAAAAAAACTGGCAAGATTAAAAAAAAACGAAACATATTGTCACTTCCGTGTGGAAAATTTGAATCAACTTTAGATTCGCTTCTCTCTTAATAATTTCTGATTTCTAAATTTTCTAATTTGTGTAATCTGCTTCTTAGACCTTTAAAAATGATAATCATAGAAATAAGATTATATTTCAATTTTTTTATAAAAACTCTATATATTAAAGATATATGGAATAAATTTTTATAGGATATATTCTAATAAAGACAAAAGGGTCCATCCATAAAGGACGTCATCCAAATAGGGAGGTGGGAGGGGTTCGAGATAAAAGAACAAAAAAGAACAAGAGAAGGAGGGGGAGAGGGGTTGTCAGAAAAGGACGTCACTTTATAGTATTTTTATTTTAGTTTAATTAATATGAAAAATACATATGTAAATATGTGTTTTTAAGAAGGTTTATAAGAATATTTTTAGTTTTAACTTTCAAAGTTGTAGCAGCAGACTCAACATTGTTCAGAGATAAAATAACTTTTTGGGGGGTTGATATTTGGAAGAGGGGGAGAGAGGAGAAAGGGGTAGGATTTTATGACGTTCTTTTCAAAGGGGTATAGGGAGAAAGGACAACCGGTGACAGGGGGAGGGTCAAAAAATGGCTAAAAAATGATGACGTCCTTTAAGGATAGCCTAAAAACTATTTATTTATTACTATAGTAATAAATACAGTCTCTTATCATAAAAATGATATACCTGCACCAGTTTTCTATATTTTAATCCATTTGTATGCAGCATAATAAAAATTATTTAAAAAATACAAATGCAAAAGGAAACTTAAAGCATTAAGGTTTACTTTGCCACAAACTGACGTCAATGCCCAAAATCATTTTGGCTTTACTTTTAGATAAGCGTTTAAAATTATTTTTTTATTTCTAATTCATTAGAATTAATTGTTGTTTTTTTTGACTCTGGTTTAGTGCTCTTAGATCTTCCTTATTTCATTTGTATAGCGTTGCGTACAAATTTATGTAAATGCAAACGTGTTTATGT